ATCCCAAAAATCCCAGAAATTCCCCCCAAAAAATCCCAGAAATCCCCAAAATCCCAGAAATTCCCCCCAAAAAATCCCAGAAATCCCCAAAATCCCAGAAATTTCACCCAAAAATCCCAAAAATTCCCAAAATCCCCCCCAAAAAATCCCAAAAATCCCCAAAATTCCACCCAAAAAAATCCCAGAAATCCCAGAAATTTCACCCAAAACCTCCCAGAAATCCCAAAAATCCCGGAAATTCCACCCCAAAAAATCCCAGGAATCCCAAAAATCCCAGAAATTCCACCCCAAAAAATCCAAAAATTCCAACCAAAACCATCTCAGAAACCCCAAAAATTCTGGAAATTCCCCCCAAAAAATCCCAGAAATCCCCAAAATCCCAGAAATTCCACCCAAAAATCCCCAAAATCCCAGAAATTCCACCCAAAAAAATCCCAAAAATCCCCGAAATTCCACCCAAAAATCCCAAAAATTCCAAAAATCCCCAAAATCCCCCCCAAAAAATCCCAAAAATCCCCAAAATTCCCCCCCAAAAAATCCCAAAAATCCCAGAAATTTCACCCAAAACCTCCCAGAAACCCCAAAAAAACCCAAAATTCCACCCAAAAAATCCCAGAAATCCCAAAAATCCCAGAAATTCCCCCCAAAAAATCCCAGAAATCCCAAAAATCCCAGAAATTTCACCCAAAAATCCCAAAAATTCCAAAAATCCCCAAAATCCCCCCCAAAAAACCCCAAAAATCCCCAAAATTTCACCCAAAAAATCCCAAAAATCCCAGAAATTCCCCCCAAAAAATCCCAAAAATTCCACCCAAAATTCCCGAAAATCCCCGAAATTCCACCCAAAAAATCCCAAAAATCCCGGAATTCCCCCGGGATTCCCCCGGAAGGTTCCGGAAGGCGCCCGGGGCGGGAATTCGGGACCCCCCGGAATTCCGGGATTTTTGGGATTCCTGGGATTTTGGGGAATTCCGGGATTTTTGGGGATTCCTGGGATTTTGGGAATTCCGGGGTTTTTGGGATTCCTGGGATTTGGGGAATTTCGGGATTTTTGGGATTCCTGGGATTTTGGGGAATTCCGGGGTTTTTGGGATTCCTGGGATTTGGGGAATTCCGGGGTTTTTGGGATTCCTGGGATTTGGGGAATTCTGGGGTTTTTGGCATTCCTGGGATTTGGGGAATTCTGGGGTTTTTGGGATTCCTGGGATTTTTGGGATTCCTGGGATTTGGGGAATTCTGGGGTTTTTGGGATTCCTGGGATTTGGGGAATTCCGGGATTTTTGGGATTCCTGGGATTTGGGGAATTCCGGGATTTTGGGGATTCCTGGGATTTGGGGAATTCCGGGGTTTTTGGGATTCCTGGGATTTTGGGGAATTCCGGGATCGGTACCTGGTGGATTCCTCCCCTCTGTAGTAATCGGCCGCCTGCTCGTAGTGCGCGATGGCCTGGGGAAAATGGGGAGAAAACGGGAAAAATGGGAAAAGTGGGAAAAAAATGGGGAAAAAATGGGAAAAATGGGAAAAAAATGGGGAAAAAATGGGAATTTTGGGGAAAAAAAATGGGGAAAATGGGAAAAAAATGGGGAAAAATGGGAATTTGGGGGAAAAAATGGGGAAAAATGGGGAAAAAATGGGAATTTGGGGAAAAAAATGGGGAAAAAATGGGAATTTTGGGGAAAAAAATGGGAAAAATGAGAAAAAAATGGGAATTTGGGGAAAAAAATGGGGAAAAAATGGGGAAAATGGGGAAAAATGGGGAAAAATGGGAAAAAATGGGAATTTTGGGGAAAAAAAATGGAGAAAATGGGAAAAAAAATGGGAAAAAATGGGGGGAAAATGGGGAAAAAATGGGAAAAAATGGGGGAAAAATGGGAATTTTGGGGAAAAAACGGGGAAAATGGGGAAAAATGGGAAAAAAAATGGGAATTTTGGGGACAAAAAATGGGGAAAATGGGGAAAAATGGGAAAAAAAAGGGGAATTTTGGGGAAAAAAATGGGGAAAATGGGAATTTTGGAGAAAAAAAAGGGAAAAAAATGGGAATTTTGGGGAAAAAAAAGGGAAAAAAAATGGGAAAAATGGGGGAAAAAGTGGGAAAAATGGGGAAAAAATGGGGAAAAATGGGGAAAAAATGGGAAAAAAATGGGAATTTGGGGAAAAAAATGGGGAAAATGGGAAAAAAATGGGAATTTTGGGGAAAAAAATGGGGAAAATGGGGAAAAATGGGAATTTTGGGGAAAAAAATGGAGAAAATGGGAAAAAAAATGGGAAAAAATGGGGGGAAAATGGGGAAAAAATGGGAAAAATGGGAATTTTGGGGAAAAAAAGGGGAAAAATGGGGAAAAAATGGGGAAAATGGGAAAATAAATGGGAATTTTGGGAAAAAAATGGGAAAAATGGGAAAAATGGGAATTTTGGGGAAAAAAGGGAAAAAAAATGGGAAAAATGGGAAAAAAAATGGGGAAAAATGGGAAAAAAATTGGGAAAAAATGGGAAAATCTGGGAAAAAAAATGGGAAAAATGGGGAAAAAATGGGAATGGAAAAAAAATGGGAAAAAATGGGAAAATCGGGAAAAAAGGGAAAAATGGGGAAAAAAATGGGAAAAAAACGGGGAAAAATGGGAAAAAAAATGGGAAAAATGGGAAAAAATGGGAAAATCTGGGCTCAGATCCTGGGAAATCCCAGGGGGAAAAGCCAGGAAATGGGAAAAATGGGAATAATGGGGAAAAAAATGGGAAAAATGGGAAAAAAAATGGGAAAAATGGGAAAATCTGGGAAAAATCTGGGAAAAAAAGGGGAAAAAAAGGGGAAAAATGGGAAAAACCTGGGAAAAACCTGGGAAAAACCTGGGAAAATCTGGGAATAAGCTGGGAAAATCTGGGAAAACCTGGAAAAAAAAGAGGAAAAAAGGGAAAAACCTGGGAAAAACTGGGAGAAATCTGGGAAAATTTGGGAAAACCTGGAAAAAAAGGGGAAAAATGGGAAAAAACCTGGGAAAATCTGGGAAAATCTGGGAAAACCTGGAAAAAAAAAGGGAAAAAAAGGAAAAACCTGGGAAAATCTGGGAAAGATCTGGGAATAAGCTGGGAAAACCTGGAAAAAAAAGGGAAAACCTGGGAAAAATCTGGGAATAAGCTGGGAAAATCTGGGAAAAAAGGGAAAAACCTGGGAAAACCTGGGAATATCTGGGAATATCTGAGAAAATCTGGGAAAAGGGGTTTGGAATCCCCAGGGTGGGAGCAGAATTCCCGGGGGAAGGGAATGGGGAGGCAGGAGAGGATGAACGGGAGGGAAAGGGTTAAAAGGAGCTGAAATTCCCGGAGAAATTCCGGGAATGGCAAAATTCCCGGATTTTTGTGGCCCCGGATTCCCGCGGCTCCGGCCGCCCCCGCTCCAGCTGCTCCCAAAAAACCCCAGGGAAATCCAAAATAAACGGGAAATGCAGGGAGAAAATGGGAAATGGAACGGAAATCGGGGGAATTCACCCCAAAAAACCCAGGGAAATAAAAAAAAACCCCAGGAAAATCCCAAATTCCCAGGAAAATCCCAAAAAACCCCCAGGGAAATCCAAAATTCCCAGAAAAATCCCCCCAAAAATTCCAGGAAAATCCCAAATTCCCAGGAAAATCCAAAAAAACCCCAGGAAAATCCCAGGAAAATCCAAAATTCCCAGAAAAATTCCCAAAAAACTCCAAGAAAATCCCAAAAAAGCCCAGGGAAATCCCAAAATAAACGGGAAATGCAGGGAGAAAATGGGAAATGGAACGGAAATCGGGGAAATTCACCCCAAAAAACACAGGGAAATCAAAAAAAACCCCAGGAAAATTTCAAAATTCCCAGAAAAATCCCCCCAAAAATTCCAGGAAAATCCCAAATTCACAGGAAAATCCCAAAAAATCCAGGGAAATCCCAAATTCCCAGGAAAATTCCCAAAAAACTCCAAGAAAATCCCCAAAAAAACCCAGGGAAATCCAAAATTCCCAGGAAAATCCCCCAAAAATCCCAGGAAAATCCCAAATTCCCAGGAAAATCCCAAAAAACCCCAGGGAAATCCCAAAATAAACGGGAAATGCAGGGAGAAAATGGGAAATGGAACGGAAATCGGGGAAATTCAGGATTTTTCCCAGGATTTTCCCAGGATTTTTCTGGGATTTTCCGGGATTTTTCCCAGGATTTTCCCAGAATTTTCCGGGATTTTTCCCAGGATTTTCCCAGGAACTTTCCCAGGATTTTTCCGGGATTTTCCCAGGATTTCCCAGGATTTTTCCTAGGAATTTTCCCAGGATTTTCCCAGGATTTCCCCCGAGATTTTTCCCAGGATTTTCCCAGGATTTTCCCAGGATTTTCCCGGGATTTCCTGGGATTTTTCCCAGGAATTTTCCCAGGATTTTCCCGAGATTTCCCAGGATTTCCCCCGAGATTTTTCCCAGGAATTTTCCCAGGATTTTTCTGGGATTTTCCCGGGATTTTCCTGGGAATTTTTCCAGGATTTTTCCCAGGATTTTCCCGGGATTTCCTGGGATTTTTCCCAGGAATTTTCCCAGGATTTCCCCCGAGATTTTTCCCAGGAATTTTCCCAGGATTTTTCTGGGATTTTCCTGGGATTTTTCCCATGATTTTCCCAGGACTTTTTCCAGGAATTTTCCCAGGATTTTTCCCAGGATTTTCCCGGGATTTTCCCAGAATTTTCTCAGGATTTCCCGGGATTTTTCCGGGATTTCCTGGGATGTTTTCCCGGAATTTTCCCAGGAATTTTCCCAGGATTTCCCGGGATTTTTCTGGGATTTCCCGGGATGTTTTCCTGGGATTTTCCCAGAATTTTCCCAGGATTTCCCGGGATTTTTCCGGGATGTTTTCCCGGGATTTTCCAGGATGTTTTCTCAGGATTTCCCGGGATTTTCCCAGGATTTCCCGGGATTTTTCCGGGATGTTTTCCCGGGATTTTTCCAGAATTTTCCCAGAATTTTCCCGATATTTTTCCGGGATTTTCCAGGATGTTTTCTCAGGATTTCCCAGGATTTTTCCAGGATTTTTCCGGGATTTTCCCAGGATTTTCCAGGATTTCCCAGGATTTCCCAGGATTTTCCCGGGATTTTCCCGGGATTTCACCTTCTCCATGTCCAGCAGGTCGCTCTCGTAGATCTCGGCGATGGCGACGTGCTGCCGGGCAGCCATGGTGAAACGGCCCTGGAAAAACGGGAATATTCCATGGGAATAACGGGAATGGGACGGGTGAAAAACCAGGAATATTCCATGGGAAAAACGGGAATGGGACGGGGGAAAAATGGGAATGGGATGGGGGAAAACCGGGAATGTTCCATGGGAATAATGGGAATGGGACGGGGGAATAACGGGAATGGGACGGGGGAAAAACCGGGAATATTCCATGGGAAAAACCGGGAATGGGACGGGGGAAAACCGGGAATGGGACGGGGGAATAACCGGGATGGGACGGGGGAAAAACTGGGAATGGAATGGGGGAATAACGGGAATGAACCTTGGGAATAATGGGAATGGGATGTGGGAATAACGGGAATGGAACGTGGGAAAACCGGGAATGGAACGGGGGAAAAACCGGGAATGGGATGTGGGAATAACCGGAATATTCCATGGGAATGACGGGAATGGGATGTGGGAATAACAGGAATGGGATGGGGGAATAATGGGAATGGGATGTGGGAAAAACCAGGAATGGGACGGGGGAATAACGGGAATGGAACGGGGGAAAAACTGGGAATATTCCATGGGAAAAACCGGGAATGGGATGGGGGAATAACGGGAATGGGACGGGGGAATAACGGGAATGGGACGTGGGAAAACCGGGAATGGGACGGGGGAAAACCGGGAATGGGACGGGGGAAAAACCGGAATATTCCATGGGAATCAATGGGAATGGGATGTGGGAATAACCGGGAATGGGATGGGGGAAAAC